AATCAGGATGGCACAAGCATTTACTGCAACACTTCCACTTAACAAAGCATACACCAACTGTTTCATCTGTTACATCACGATGGGTAGCAAAAAGTGTCTCAGCAGCACACTACCATCTACAGTATGACCAATGATGTTCAGAAATATGCACTTGACAACTAAAAGGAAACAAGATAAAAGTACTTCCAGTACAGTAGATGAATCGACAATTAAACCAGTACGGGTAACAGTAGCAAAAACGAAAAGATTAGATCTTGTCCTCAAACTCAGAAAGAGGGGTCATCTGTTCCTTGAGACCCTTCCTCTTGCGGATATCCAGCACCAGCTGAGCAGCCTGGGAGCCAGCCTCCAAAGGATCAGAGCCCATCATGTCCCAATGGTCAAAGACACACTGGGGGAAAGCCTGACCAGAGGTTGCAGCCCTCAGTTGGCTGGAGAACCCAAAGGACTCGATGACAGGGAGGTAAGCCTTGATGTTGTAGAGCGGGGTACCCTGCCTCTGCATCTCCTCGAAGACATGCCCTCTCTTCTGGTTCAGAACACCATAGATACCACCAAGTGCATTTTCTGGGGCCTGAATCTCCACCAGGTACACTGGCTCCAGCAGCCTTGGCTTGGCCGTGAGCTGAGAAGCATAGATGACCCTCCTGGCAGTTGGAATGACCTGGCCACCACCCCTGTGGATAGCATCAGCATGAAGAACGACATCACAGACCTCAAAGCAAATCCCACGCATGTTCTCCTCTGCCAGTGCACCCTCCTTTGATGCCCACTGGAAACCAGCCACGACAGAATCCTTGATTTCATTGAGATACTGAACTCCCTTACACATATCAACAACCATGTTTGGACCAGTGGTCTCAGGTCCAAAACACCAAATCTTCTTGGCAAGGTCCTTGTCCCAACCAAACTCCTGAGAGAGGATCTGGGAGCGCACCTTAGGATCATCACGTGGGCCAATGCGGCCGTCATCGATGGCCTCAGCGAGACCCTCCTCCAAGGGGCGCGCTTCCATGTACAGACGGTTGTGCTTGTTGGGTGACTTGCTCATGACAGTACGGCAAGACTTCTCAAGAACGGTTTCACGGAAGGACACAACAGGAGGGGAAACGATAATTTCAGCACCACCCATGAAGTCGTCCTGCAGATCCTTCAGGCAAATCTCAAGATGAAGCTCACCAGCTCCAGCAATGATATGCTCACCAGATTCTTCAATTGTACAGAGAACCATAGGATCAGACTTTGCCAGACGCTTCAAACCTTCAACTAGCTTGGGAAGGTCAGAGGCAACCTTGCACTGAACAGCAACACGCACAACAGGGGAGACAGAGAACTTCATTGCTCTGATTGGGCATGCATCGACCTCCTTCTCATTAGTGAGTGTAGCATTCTTCGTGATGAATTGATCCAGACCAACCATTGCAACAGTGTTACCACAAGGAACATCCTCAACAGACTCTTGTTTCTTTCCCATCCAGATAACAGTACGCTGGACACTCTTGACATACAGATCCTTCTTCTGGCCAGGGACATAGTTGGGACCCATGATCCGAACCTTCATACCAGTAGCAACCTTCCCTGAGAAGACACGACCAAAGGCAAAGAACCTGCCCTTGTCAGATGCTGGAATCATCTTTGAAACATACAGCATAAGAGGTCCCTCCGGATCACAGTTTCTGATAGCAGTTGCATAGACATCATCAAGGGGTCCCTCATACAAGTTCTCCACACGATACCTTTGAGCCTTTGAAGGGGAAGGAAGGTGGAATATCATCATCTCAAGCAGTGCAGTGCTAGCTGGAAGCCACGTTTGCATAACACGCTTCATCAAAGCTTTGCCAATCAATTCCTTCTCATCAGCCTTCATGGTAACATTGAGCTTTTGCAGCATGGGCCACAATTTCTCCTTCTGGTCGTTCATGCAGGTGTTGATGATTTGCTTGATTGGCTCATAGCAGAACTGAACGAATCCTCTCTTGCAGGTAGGAGAACCTGTGTTCTTGGTAGTCCACTTCTTTGTGGCAGGGTCAAAGAAGTTCTCACCCCAAAGCCTCTCCATCATCTTAGCTTCATCAACTCCAAACTTAGATGCATACATCTTGGCAAAGTTAGTGAGGGTAAAGGCCCATCCGTGCAGGCCAGCAGAAAAAGCAACAGTCCCCTTCTCTGGGTAGACTTGGACATCACCTAGGAGCTTATCTTCATATGTTGCCATAATGACGTTGGCATTCTCAATGACGCGGGAGAAAGTCTGATAAGCTTCCTCACCCTCAACCTGAAGCTCAAGGAAGCACCTGTCCATCTTGTTCACAGTAAGGACTGGCCTAATCCTCTCACCAAGGGCTTGGCGGAGCACAGTTTCAGTTTGCACACAGACACCTTCAATACAATCAACCACCACCAGAGCACCATCGGTGATGCGAAGAGCAGCTGTAACTTCCGAAGAAAAATCGACATGCCCAGGTGAGTCAATAAGGTTGATCAAATATTGGTTACCATCCCTCTCACCCTTGTAGCTCTTCAGTGACTCATCAGTCATCTCATAGTAAAGAGAGATACCAGTGGATTTGATTGTAATACCACGCTCTGCTTCATCTGCACGAGTATCAGTCATGCGGACATCACCAGCAACTTCCTGCGCAATAATCCCAGCAGCTGCCACAAGGGAATCTGTAAGCGTGGACTTTCCTGCAAAAAAAAACACAATAATATATAAGGAACGGTGCACAACTTCAACATCCAACTGGACATGCATCATAGAGTAGCACATTAGGGACAGACAACCAATCAAAATTGAAAGTTAACAAACACATCAATACATTACAATCTAAAACATTAACAGGTAATATACCTACCATAGCACCTAGAGAAGCAATACATTAATCACAAGATAAAAAAACGGTAAGCCTACTACATGAATGAATAACTGGCCATAAGTAACTCGGCAGAAAACAGATAGTGCAGCATCAGTTCTAAAAATAAGTTCTAAAAAACGATAATGCATTAGCTCTTAAATATTGAAAACAAAATAAGTTCTAAAAACGAAAAGGCTCGAAAACATTAAGGTTTTTTTTTCCGATGCCATCTAACAAAGCACTGTTCTGAACATACCATGGTCCACATGAGCAATAACAGACATATTGCGAATGTTGTTCTTTTTGTCCATGATGGCACGAAGCTCTTCAGCCGTGAACTTCACCATCTTGACTGTTTATGATGATCCCACTACAAATATGTATATGTATTCCTGCAATTGAGGGTACAAAATGCGAGTCAGATTTTTTTAAAAAAAAAAACATGAACAGAATAAACAGAATTACAGAAAACTTTGAGCCTGACATCAGCACAAAGAAGCAACAAGCACTACAATTGTCAGGAACAAAAGAGAAACATAAATTTAACTGTCTAATGTGTCAAACAAGCTATTAACCATTTCAGAAATTTGTTGAAAACGTTTTCACTCACACTCTTTATCAAGGTAAATTATTCTAATTTTCACTCAGCACAAGGGATTGTATGCACACAAAAGCTAATAGGTATCTTTGTTGAACACAGGGTAGAACCTCATCATACTACAACTTGTTTTAAGAAAGCATCAAAGGGATGATTCAATCACTAATCTCTAAAATACTAAATGAATGGGTTAATACTGATAAGTGAAACAAGAAACAGTAGATGGTAACTACAGGTTAAAGCACAACTGATGGGTGTACCATGTGTATTACAACTGTGAACCAAAACCAATCTTATACACTTATACATACAGATTATCACATTATTGACATACCAACATACATGGAAACACCAGAAAACATTTCAGACAAACATTTCAACTAGCAGAAGATCCTAGCCTTCATGAAAATCGAAGACGCCAAAAAGGAAAGCATAGATTACTCAACAAATTCATGTAGACTTGGACTACCACAGATCGATGAATGCCGACATACTGAGCATTAAAAAAATGGACCATAAATAGGTAATCATACTGCCTAAAATGGATCATAAACATAACTATCATGAATCTAAGGACTACCAACAGAGCACAAATTGTTAGAACCAAATCAGACTATACCAGCCGCAATTAGTCATGGGAAAACAGTAGATCTGAGTAAACAAATCAGTGTCGCCCAAGGATCACAGCAGACCCAATTCACCCAAAGGTGCAAACTAACTGGTCGACGCAAAAATTAAGTTAAGAACCAAATAATATAGGACATCCGGAGTGAACCAGGACTGCACCTTATCTTATCTCTACAGATCGGACAGACCAAACACAGAGAGAACAGTCAGCGGCACCAGTAAACCCGAATCGACCTAAATTACCTGGAGTACCCACACAAACTTCAGAATCGAACCGCAAGCCACTTCAAGGCCTCCGATTCAATCCAATCAACAGAAAACACCACGAGATGGAACCAAAACGCCTTGAAGTCAACTAGAAATACCGATCAGCTAGCTCTAGCTCAATCCAATCAACACAAGACACCACGAGATGGAACCAAAACGCTTTGAAGTCACCTAGAAATACCGATCAGCTAGCTCTAGCTCAACCAACCAGAGAAGAGAGGGAAAGGGTGGTCAGTCACCTTGGTTTCGCCTCCCGATCTGAGAGACGATATGTGGAGGCGCCGCCGGGAGAGAAGCACTAAAACCCTAGCGGCCGCCTGTGAGGATATCTATAGCAGCGGAGTTGGCGCACCGGGCTAGAAATATCCCACGGGCGAATATTCGGCCCCAAAACCACCTGTGGTTTGGTCGATGCAGATTGGCGGCGGGGCGGCTTCTGGGGCTGCTCGTCACCCATGAGCTCACTCTCGGGCTACCATTCGGCCCATGGATAAAGCCCACTGGCCCCTTTCCAAGACAGCGACTATACAGAAGCCCACTGGCCTCACGATGCGAGGTCCCCTTATCGGCAACTACAACGCGACACAAGAGGGCATTTGCGACAATTCATCTGTATACAGGGACAGCCTATCGAGCAGCTACTCCGCCCCCAAATGATGGCCGGCATATCCAGTTTCCTCACTCGCCGCCTTCCGCCCTTTCCGCTCGCCGGTACCGCCGCCGCCGCAGCAGCAGCCATGTCGTCGTCGTCCACGGCAGCGAACGTCTCCTATCGTCCGATCTCTCCGGACACCACCCGCGTGGCCTGGGTGGGGACGGGCGTCATGGGCCAGTCCATGGCTGGCCACCTCCTCTCCGCCGGCTACGCTCTCACCGTCTTCAACCGCACGGCATCCAAGACCCAGGGCCTCGTCTCCAGCGGCGCCAGCCTCGCGGACAGCCCCCGCGCGGCCGCCTCGGCTGCCGATGTCATCTTCCTCATGGTCGGCTTCCCCTCCGACGTCCGCTCCACCGCCCTCGATCCATCCACCGGCGCCCTCTCCGGCCTGGCCCCAGGCGGCATCCTCGTCGACATGACCACCTCCGACCCCACCCTCGCCGCCGAGATAGCCGCGGCCGCTGCCGCCTCCGGCTGCTCGGCCGTCGACGCCCCCGTCTCCGGCGGCGACCGAGGGGCCCGCAACGCCACCCTCTCCATCTTCGCGGGCGGCGACGCCGCCGTCGTTGCTCGCCTGGCGCCGCTCTTCAAGCTCATGGGAAACGCGCTGTACATGGGCGGGCCCGGCGCGGGGCAGCGCGCGAAGCTGGGCAACCAGATCGCCATCGCGTCCACCATGGTGGGGCTCGTGGAGGGCATGGTGTACGCGCACAAGGCCGGGCTGGACGTGGCCAAGTGGCTGGAGGCCATCTCCACCGGCGCGGCGGGGTCCAAGTCGCTGGAACTGTACGGGAAGCGGATCCTGGAGAGAGATATGGCGGCTGGCTTCTATGTCCGGCACTTCGTGAAGGACCTCGGTATCTGCCTGTCGGAATGCCAGGCCATGGGACTGTCGCTGCCGGGGCTCGCGCTCGCGCAACAGCTGTACGTGTCGCTGATCGCTCACGGCGAGGGCGGGCTCGGTACACAGGCGCTTATACTGGCCATCGAGCGGCTGAACAACACCAGCCTCGAGAAGGACGGATGAAAGGCCCCAGGCTCCAGCTCTGATGAACTTGTGGGAAGCTTTGCTTGGTGCAAGTATGCAAGATCGAGGTGAATGTTAAGTTGTCTTAAGGAGTTATACAGTTGTTCACTTTTGCAGTAGTATATGCTTTGCAGAAAATTGTGCCAGCTTGGATGGTTGCTTAGCTCTACCTGTTTTTGATTACATCCGCCACGAGTTGAAATAAGATTTTGCAAACAATGCTGCATTCCTTGCATAGTTGCCGCCACGTTCGCTTGGTTTATACGTCGTACTTTTTCAGCCAACGAACGATATTTTTCTCTCATAACTAATCAGCCAACGGTACTTTCAATCATGGCTTATCGGCCAAGCGAACAGGGCATGCATTGGTTTAGTGCCCAAGATGCAAAACATTTCATGGTACTCAGTACTCACCTTACCAGTTGTCTGATTTCTATCGATGACTGATCATCATGTGAGCTCAAGCACATCTGGCAAAAATCACTTAAGAGTTCAAGTCAGATGAACTTGGACATCTGCAAAAATCAGTTAAAGAGTCGAAGTCAGATAATCTTGCAATGCTTAGGATGCACAACAAGCTTTGCGTGGCCTCGCTTAGCCAGAGCCAGTTTGCCAATCCTGGGTCAGCTGGGAAAAACTCAGCTTGCGCAGGCAGCGTGACCTCGCTTAGCCAGGCGAGAGTAACCTTGCCTGTTTCTGCGAACCAATTTGGCTCTGAGGAAAAACTCACGCAAAAATCGAGGCAACAAGGCATGGAATCCAAACACGATTTTCTCTTTCGTTTCTTGCTAACAAGGCGAGGTGAGGTGCACTAGCAGAACCAAACGTGGCCTAACAAAATGCTGTCACCAAATGCTAACACGGTTTTGCCTTGCTGGGCTACCGAATCATTGCATTTTCTTCTAGGTGATTGAATTATTGTTGCAGACCTTAATAATATCTTAAAGGTTGAAAGGCTTACACCCACAGTTGACCAATCTCACGTTGTCAGCATTAGATGATTGACAAGATCCAACGATATGAGATTTGAATCCAATTGTAAATAAAGGAACTAAAAGTGCACAAGAGCACCAACCGTTCCCATAAGGCTTTATGGATGTTCACTTGAGCTTATTCAAAACTACTTTTCAGCCATGGAACAGTGTTTTCCTCTCATAACATTTCAACATAAGCATCAGCATAAGCCAAATTTCAGCATCAGCGAACAAGGTGATTGTTTCAACAAAATTATTCCAATATGAAGATATAAAACATGTGTACAGTAAACAAAAAAGGAAAGAAAACACACAAAATAACATTAATAATGCAAAGTTGATCCATAACAATCAATATAAGAAAAATAACCGCACGTGATGAAGTTGTAAAATCTGAGAATCAAATACAAGACTCCAAAGAACAGAGACAATTGCCCCTGTTCGCTTGAACTTATCCAGAAATACTTTCTAGCTATGGAACAGTGTCTTCCTCTCACAACATTTCAGCATAAGCTAAATTTCAGCATAAACGAACAGGGTTAATATACTAACTACATATACACCAAAAAATTCTACCAAATGCTGTCAGCACTGAACCAGCATATTTTCAAGAAATATTGTGAAGACCGAAGAGGAGAAGAACTGAAACTAAACACCATGTAATTGGTGCCAATAAATTCAAATGAGAGTGAACAGAATCATATTCAGCAAAAGGCTAATAGTTGTCCACAGAAATACTTTCAAAATGTCATTATATCATGGCAGTACAATATCGCAACTAGCATATCGTAATGTAATAGTTTATGTGAAAAACATAGGAAATGAAGCTATCATCAAGAAGATGGCACCATAAAGTGATACAAGCTGAAAATAAATTATCAAACATTCAGAGTTTGTCCTCGTATTCAAAGAGAGGTGTGACCTGTTCCTTCAGCCCCTTCCTCTTGCAAATGTCCAAGACAAGGTTAGCAAGTATGTGTACCAGGCTCCAGAGGGATCTGTACACGAAGACAACGTTTCCCAGTGGTCAAAGACACAGGGAATGCCTGACCAGAGGTTGCGGTGCTTGTGAACCCAAACAGATCAAGGAAACATATGTTCAGCTTGTTCTCAGTTTCCACACAGACACCCTCAACACAGTCAATCACTACAGTACAAAGCACCATCAGCTGACGAAGGGTGTGTTTGGTTGAGCTGTGGCTGTGGGAAAAAGCTGATGTGGGCTGTGAGCTGTGGGAAAGCTGATGTGGGCTATAGAAAAGCAGAAAGCTGTTTGGTTAAACAAGTATAAAATATACCTTCTATCTTTATCTCTCTTGAAACAACTATGGAAAAACTTTTTATTCCACAAATTTCGAAAAGCAGAAAGCCAAAAGCAAAAAACAGGGTCAAACCAGCTTTTAAAAATGTACTCCAACCAAACGGACCCGAAGAGCAGCTGTGACCTCAGAAGAAAAATCTACATGGCCAGGTGAGTCAATAAGGTTGATCAGGTATTCATTTCCATCTCTCTCACCATTATAACACTTGACTGACTCGTTACTCATCTTAAAGAGATATACCAGTGGACTATTGTAATACCACGTTCTGCTTCATTTGCACGAGTATCGGTCATTCGATCGGTCGAACCTCACCAGCACATCCTGGGTGAAAGGATCAAGATGCCCAAGAGGGGGGGTGAATTGGGCTAATTCGAAATTCTCTTGCAATAAACAAATCCTACGGATAGCCCAATTAACCCCTTGTGCCTAGAAAAGTGTTTCTATCAAACTAAAGCACAACGAACTCACCACCTATGTTCCAACCTTACTCAAGCAAGCAATTCTATGGATGTAAAACAAGTATTGAATTGCTCAAAGTAAATAGGGAGAGAAAGGAACAGCGATGTGTTTTGCCGAGGTATCAAGAGTCGCCACTCTCCACTAGTCCTCGTTGGAGCACCAGCATGAGGATGTAGCTCCCCCTTGATCCGCCAAGGATCAAGTGCTCTCTATGGGTTGATTCTTCGACACTCCGTCGCGGCCGAATCACCCAAAGCCACTCACAACTTGAGTTGGGTCACCCACAAGCTCCACCGGTGAACACCAAACTCCCAATCACCACCAAGCCGTCTAGGTGATGGCGATCACCAAGAGTAACAAGCACGAACTCTCACTTGACCACATGAAGCCTAATGAGAAGATGGATGCACACTTTGCTACTCTTGATTTGCTAGTGAGGCTACTCTCTTGGATTCTCAAATCACAAACACCTCTCTAGGACCTTGCTCTTCTTGGCACTCACAAACGTGTTTCTCAAATTTGTTGGAATGAGCAAAAGTGCCTCCACTCACGAGTGGAGCTTCTATTTATAAAGCAAACTGAAAAACTAACCGTTATGAGCTTCCAGGGACGACCGGACGCTCCGATCGTGATGACCGGACGCTTTCCGGTCAGTTCAACCCGCGAACCAAAGATTCAAGTGATGACCGGACGGCGACAGGTCCGGTCGATGCATCCGACCGGACGCGTCCGGTCGCTCTTGGATGCTTACTGTAAACGACCGGACGCTGGATACTCAGGGTCCGGTCATATTGACCGGACGCGTCCGGTCACTCTTTTCCAAGTCTGGACCCTTACTGGAGTCGACCGGACGCTAGCCCTCAGCGTCCGGTCACACGACCTTCCAAATCCGGTCTGTGCAACAGATTTAACCACCTCGGTCAAACGAATCGGCCGGGACCTGCGGCCGTGTCCAGTCATGCCGAAACCACTGTCCGTCCGGTCAGTGTTTGACCCTCCATTCACTTCTAACTTTCGAACATATGTGAATGAAGTTTGCTCCAAAGGATCTTAGGCATTCATAGGAGCTACCTAGAGCTAGTTTTAACAAGTGTGCACCACACCTAACTCACTAGACTCAACTAGGTCAAGCTACCCGCTCATACCCCCCCTTTATAGTGCGGCCAAAGGAAAAAACAAAGTCCTAAACTACTCTAAATGTCTCTCCAACTCCAATCGACACTTAGAACTAGTTATCCTTAACCTTGTCGTCCATCCTTTGAAAACCGAAACGATTTCCATCGTAGGGGCATGACAACCTCGATTGCCCAATCGATCTCCATTACCATGACCTAACTTAGTTGCCTCTGCAAAACACACGTTAGTCATAGTAATCTTGTATTGACATTAATCATCGAAATCCAACTAGGGGCCTAGATGCTTTCAATCTCCCCCTTTTTGGTGATTGATGACAATACCACCTCGAGTATGTTATGGAGTGAGGTTTTTTTTTTTTTTTTTTTTTTGACGGGCTTGGTTCATATAAGCTTTTGTCAATAAGAACAAAAGAGTTAGTCAAGCTTATATGACCCAAGCCAACACAATGTACTCAAAGGATATGAATTAAGCATGAGTACAATTAACAAAGCTCATTTGCTTCGAAGTATAAACGCGGAAGCAAAAGCAAATGAGCATAACACAAGTGATATGACATATAGAAAATGCAAAGTAGAAGTCACACATGTCAAATATCACGATCCACGTAGATAGCACTATCACATATATATAATAGTATGCATGAAAGTAAACACACGAATGCATAAGTAATAGTGTATCACACAAATAAAACTCCAAATGTATATAAAAGCTAATACTAGATAACTAGCTCCCCTAAAGCTCGCTCCCCACAGTCTACATACTCAAAACCCTCTCCCCTTTGGCGTCAAACACAAAACCTAAGGGTTCGGTCGGCGGGGCTCAGCAGACGAGTCGAGTCAGGCGCCGAGGTACGTGGAGCAAGATGGAATCAAGGCCATCATCATCCGACCACGAGCTCAACCGGTAGTGACCCTCACAGGCGGGAAGTGTCATTGAAGCGGTCTGGTCTGCAGCTGGTTTGGTCTTTGCTGTGATCTTTGCAAGTATGTCCGTCGTAGGATCTGACGAGGCGACAGACGAGGGAGCTTCGAGTAGTCACGATAGTGGAGCTGCTTTGTGAGACGGACCGGCAATATGCATGTGAGACGGAGTAGGCATGCCGGATCAA